GAAGCTAAACTACTGTCAGCCTTTCAGAGGATCTGCAGGTTACAAAACAAGTTCAAATCTCTGTGTTTCCCGCCGATGAATTTAGAACAGATTTTAATGTTGTTCAGACCGTTTCTGGCTGAGATGGAGTGGCTGAGAAACCAGCAGGTCAAAGAAAAAAAAAGACACAGGTGCATGTATTATGTCCTCTTAGGGCTTCTGTACTTGTGTCAGCACTTAAACATCAAATGTGATCAAAACCAAAAACTGTGAATATTCAACTGTATTCTTTGTTCATGTGTAGATGATTCTGTGTTCACTTTTATCTGTCAGTCCAGCTAAAGATCTTCTGCAAGTTTGAGTGAAGGTGTGCAATTCTGCAGCACAGAAAAAACAGGTTTATAAAGTGTGTGTGTGTGCGTGTGTGTCTCCTCTCAGGCTGCGGAGAGCATCTGATTCGCACCATGCTGGCGAGGGAGTGCTCCGCTGCCATGCAGTCTGAGGATGCCCACCATGCACTTCTGGAGGCTATGCAAAACAAGTTCATCAGTGAGTCACCCACATGCATCCCCATCCACACTCATTTCCACACACACGGGTTTGTCAGCCAAGAACGTGTTTGCAAAGAAACACAAACACAATTATGCACGAATGGAATTAAACGGACAAAACAGATGTTGCGTAACACGAGGAAAGGAATGAGCTAACAAGTGGAAATAATAGAATGAGGAGAGACAGATTTGATTTATGGATCATTCACACTGTTTAAACGGAGCCTTCAGATGTTCCTCACATCACAGCTGACAGCCACAGACCTTTTTTAGAAGACATAATTGCTTTGTTGAAAGTTCATGTGAAGATGTTTTTTTTTGTGTGTGCCATATTCTCAGAAGTGGTCAGTTTCAGAAAGCATCATTAACTGTGTTTGCTGCATCTGTGACCGGCCGCTGGGAGAGCAGAGGAGGAACATGTGGAAACATGTGGCGGTTTCTGGCCTTGTTTTGGGGCCTCCTTTTAGAAGTCCGTCCCAGCTCGGCTTTGTCATGGACATCTGTAACAGTGAGACGTTTGGACGAGCTGGATAAAGTTAATTCTTCTGTTTCCTTTCAAGATGCACATCCAGTTAAACAAAGCTCCATAAATCCTGCCTTAGAAAGAGGAGCGATGAAAGTGTGAAAGATCTGGACGCCTCTCACTCAACTTCTATTTATAGAATATTTCGAAGACGACGATTTTTAAGATTCAAACAGTAATTGTCAGGGACTGATTCACAGAACAATGCACCACTTTTGTTTCCCCGTAAATCTTTGCAAATGAGTCATACAGCCGCCGTCACCAGATGCATGTTCGGTCAGTCTCCGCTCGGTTACGGCAGCGGAGCTGATATGTTTCTACTTTATTCAATGTGTTTGGCTTCCACTGGATCTGAGTGATTCATTTAGAGTTTCATGACTCAACAGAAGTGAAATCAAGAGAATCAACGAAGATAACTGGTGGTATCTTTGTGTGGTTTGGTCTGATTGTGGTAATTTTCCTCTGTTTTGATGGACGTTGCTGTCCATCATTTCAACCTGACCTGGCGCTTTGCATTGTGGGAAACGGCACGTGAGGAAGACTGGTTTGATGCAGACTGTAGATTCTTCCTGAATCAGTACAACGTGTGTTTTTTTTTTTGCTTACTGTGGATCTCATATTTGTTTACGTAATGCATTGTAGGAGGAAGCAGGAGGTTTAGAAAAACAGCCACAGTCTGAGATTTTACAAAAACTGGGGATCTTCTTGGTCACTTACTGCTGGACTACAACTAGATTATTTCCCATCATGCACCCTGTGGATATTTCCAACCTACAACTTTGTGCAGAAAACCGTAAAGAAGGACAAACTGGTTGGCGAGAAGACGATCAAACTCAACCATCTAGAGGAAGTTAAAGTCGTAACATGGTTTCTGTAGGTGAACCTGCAGAAGGCTCGTTACTGGTTAGTATGGTACACACATCAGTACGAGCTACTGGTGAAGTGGGAGGTATCCAAAAGCAGTCTGGTTTGGTTCAGTCCAGTTTGGTACGTTAAACTCTGATCTTGTTTGCATTTCCACAGCCAACCGTACCTTTATTTGGTAAGCGGAGTGTAAAACCTGATTCATGCTTCTTGCGGTCGGCGCGGTGATATTGCTCAATCGCGGCCGGCTCAAGGAGGGTCCGCGGAGGATCTGAGCGCCCAGCCGTGCACCTCCAAGATTTTGTAACAACACGGACGGGTTTCCGCCGACCGATTGATTGGCTACAGGGCCCAGAAGTACTTTCTGCGGACCATGTTGAGCTCTGAGCGCTCTGAGCGCAATCAGTATCAAACGCCTTCCACATCGCACCGTCCGCACCTCGCCGACCGACCACAAGAAGCATGAATCAGGCTTAAGTCAGATGGAGATAGCCGCGTTACAGCAGCCTAAAACTGTTTTGCCCGCTATTAATTAAGCTCAAAGAAGAAGAACGGGACACAGTAAACAAGGGATCCTTTAAGGTCAGATCGGTAACCTTGGCGCCCGAGCAGAATGGTACCAAAAAGTAGGACGGTACGGATCCCTTATTTTGGTACCATTCCCAAACTTCTGACGGTGGAAACGCCAATAAATGGGTGCTGAACCGAACTGAACCGGACTGCTTGGTGGAAACGGGGCTTTGGTGAACTACACCTCCTTAAGGTTTTATCTTAAATACTTCTACATCAAATGTTCTGATTGAACTCCTACAACATGCAAAGACGTTATTAAATGTGTTGGATATTTACGAGCCTTTCTATAATTATAGAACAAATACAAAACCATGTTTTATGGAGTAAAGGAAACATTACAACATGGAAACCGAAGCTGCAGCAAAGACTCTCTTGCATGCAGACACAAATACATTTTCATCAATTGCACCAATTGTTATTGTGTGTAGACATCACAGAAAGCTGCTTTAGCTGTTTATAGAAAGCCTTTCTTCCCTCTTTATTACTCCGCATTCATCGGCCAATTCAAGTCTTCTCGTACACAACACCTCGTTCATGTTTGCCTCTGAAGTTTCGTCAGCAAGCTTTAAAGGTTCTCACCAGTTGAGCAACAAAGCTCAACTGGTGTGGGAGTGAATGTAGCTGGACTTTATCCTTCCTTATAATTAAAATATGATGTCAAGTCAAGTCAACTTTATTTATATAGCACATTTATAACAGTCGAGGCGGACCAAAGTGCCGTACAGTAAATTAGGCAAAATACATGACATCCAAAACATCATAAAGTTGTAGAGGTGTGAAGAAAACTATAATCTGCTGAAATCTGCTCGTAAAAATAGTGAAATATGATTTATTGAAAAGATAAAATACATAAAATGTTTTCAGTAGTTTAACTTTGCCTGAAAACAAAACAATGTCAAGCTGAACAGAATAGATCGACCCGGACAGGAAGTCGGACGAGGAAACGCACAGAGCGCCCGGTCAATTTCAAAATAAATCTCAACATACAGACTCCTGATCGTATATTCAATCACTTTATCAACAGGACGTCAAAACAGAATGAACAACAAATCATCCTCAGAAAGACAAAGCAACATGTGCACGTTTTTTTCTTTATTCCCATGTGATCTTGTAGTTCTCCTGTGATCTTGTAGTTCTCCTTTGATCTTGTAGTTCTCCTTTGATCTTGTAGTTCTCATGTGATCTTGTAGTTCTCCTGTGATCTTGTAGTTCTCCTGTGATCTTGTAGTTCTCCTTTGATCTTGTAGTTCTCATGTGATCTTGTAGTTCTCCTGTGATCTTGTAGTTCTCCTTTGATCTTGTAGTTCTCCTGTGGTCTTGTAGTTCTCCTGTGATCTTGTAGTTCTCCTGTGGTCTTGTAGTTCTCCTGTGATCTTGTAGTTCTCCTGTGATCTTGTAGTTCTCTGTGATCTTGTAGTTCTCTGTGATCTTGTAGTTCTCTGATCTTGTAGTTCTCTTGTGATCTTGTAGTTCTCCTGTGATGTTGTAGTTCTCTGATCTTGTAGTTCTCTTATGATCTTGTGGTTCTCCTGTGGTCTTGTAGTTCTCCTGTGATCTTGTAGTTCTCCTGTGATCTTGTAGTTCTCTGTGATCTTGTAGTTCTCTGTGATCTTGTAGTTCTCCTGTGCTCTTGTAGTTCTCCTTTGATCTTGTAGTTGTAGTTCTCCTGTGATCTTGTGATGTGTGAACAGCTGTTTATGGCTGTGCTCACTCTCTGGTCATGGTGTGCGCTGTTCATTGTAGCAAAACCGTGGCGCTGACAGAACACAGAACCTAGGGGACTGGATGTGGAAATACACAGTCAGGGTGGAGAACTTCAGAATGTACACAAACTTTACTGATTTGAGAGAAACTTGTTTATGCTTCATTGAATCATCTGAGGTGTGATGTTTTTTCTTTCTCGCTCCAGGCTCGCCCTTTCTGGCCAGTGAAGATCGCGCTCTGGGTGGAGTCATCGTCCTGCGCTGCTGCAGATGTGCGGAAGCGCCGCCTTCTCAAAATATTCAGGGTATACTGGGTAAGACACGAGTAACCACAGGCTTTATCACACTTTATCCGACTCCACTCAACACCTCACAAGCGGGAAAGATTTGACTGTTTTAAATGCATCATTAGATATATTTGCAGGAGGGGGGGAGGCTCTGTTGGCTCTCCTGGAGGGTGGTCTCTGTTTAAACTTGCACAATCAGGGCTCTGGTTTCACACCCTTCATCTCCGATTCAAACTGAGACCTCCCACTGTGGAATCAACCGCTAATCTGCAGGCAAGCGTCGGCCCTCTGACTGCTGCCCAGTGTGGCTGATTGAAAGGCAGAGCAGAAACTTCCTCGTTCAAACACACCATCATGTAATCTGAAATCCATCCAAATTTTTAGCCATGTGATCGACTAAACAGTTTGCTCTCTGTGTAAATGTAACTGTGTTTCATAGAGAGCCCTGCGCTCCAAAGAAAACAAAGTCCAGCAGAAGTTTCCTCTCATGACGACTTCTAACAAATTCAACATGACGTCGTTTGACAAGTGGAGTCCTATTTATATTACACATTATGCCCGTTTGAATATAAAAAGTATCCCTTCCTGGTTGATGTGCAGGCCGTGTTTGATGCCGTTTATGGAGCGTGGACTGCCTCAGATTACTGCGGACGGCGGAGGAGCTCTGTGTTGATTTATGAGAACAAACAGCGTGTCGACCACATCCTCCAAGTGCTGGAGTTGAGTTTCTGCTCCAAGCTCGGTTCTACCTTCTTCCTCCTCTGCCGTTATGTCACAACTCCGAGTCATATATTTTCACGATAATGGGCACGCTCTGAGCTATCCGCAGTTTAGCACACTGAGTCACCTGCCAAACTTTTCCTCCGACAGAGGGAAACAAAGAGGAGGAAGTGAGTCTGAGCTCAGAGACGATCTGCTCTCACACTCCCTCTCTCCCATTCCCTTTTTAAATATAGTATATATATATATTAGAGCTGTCAGCATTAACTAGTTAATAACGATTAGTGAATATTCATGTTTCTTGATTTCCTCCATTTGTTGACCCTGTTTCTGTGTTTATTTTCACAGTGGAGTTCCTTTGGAGTCACACCACAGAGAGCATGTGTGTCGGTTACATGTCGGCCCAAGACAGCAAAGCAAAGGTGAGTCCCCGTTTCACAGGACAGCTTAATGTTTTACATCGTTTTGAAACATAATTTTTTAGGAACAATTTCCTTTTCAACCAGTCAGTGTGGCTCTGTGTACGCAGCAGGGTTTGATGCTGTGCTCTCCTGGCTCTAATGGAGTCTCAGCTCGGTCTGATTTGTTTGGCTAATGAATCTCTGTCACTGCGTGTAAAGAGAGGGCCCTGTTGTTTCAACCTGGTTCAGATTTCAAAGTGTTTGCCCTCCTTCCAGCCTCCCCGCCTCCCTGCCTCCTTGCCCCCGTTACTCGTCCTTTTTTCACTCTCTTGGTCTCCACTCTCTCTCTCTCTCTCTCTCTCTGTCTGGCCCTACCTGGTCCTTAAGTACCACAAAGTTTACAGAAAGTCGAGCACCACAGGTGATATGCATCAATCTGCATATTTCTTAGATGTGCTCTGTGTGAGAGTGAGAAGGAGCCTTACACATGTTCTATTCAGAGAAACTTTGAATCCTCAAACGTTTCTTTTGGTTTTAGGTTTTTGTCTTGTTTGTATTCTTACATTATAAATCGTTAATGGTGAGTTTTCTTACTCTGCATTTTGTCTGCACATTTATATCATTTCAGAAAAATATCTCTTGTGTCATTAACCCTTTTCAGACCGCCGCAATATTTACGCCCCTGTGACGTTTCTTTTTCAATCTGAATGTCATGGAGGCATAAAGGGGGGACGAAGTAATCCCCTCCTCTCTACAGTCTTCAGAGGTAGTAACAGAGTTGAGACGGTTTCAGCAGTCTCACGCAGACAAGCAATATGAATTCACAGACTAGGATGCCAATATTACGTTGTTGCAGAATCAATATAAATGTATCAAGACGTGATGACAGCTGAGCTTAGTTACGGCACTTTTGCAGAAAAAAAAAAGCAGTCTGAAAAGGACCCTTTTTTTTTCTCCAACATATTTTTATTAAAGCAAGTTCAAGACATACAGTGCAATTGGGATGCAGTCAACATTTTTCTTTTTTTCCCCAGAAATATTCAAAAACCCAGTATCACTTCTCCCTGTAAACAACCCTCCCAGTCCAACAAATAGACCTCTTAGTTTAAAGACTTAGTTAAAAGTACAAGAGTGGAAAACTCACAAAAGATAAAATACAATAACTTAATAAAAATAAACAGATAAGCGTGAAAAAATAAAAGTAAATTTGAAAAGAGTAGTATCAAAAAAAATACAATAATAATAATAATACAAAGTGACGAGACAAACAAATAAATAAATGAACAGACAACAGTCTGAAAAAGACTCTTGAGATACATTATTGAAAATCCCAGTGTTTTTCCTCTGGATATTCAACAGCTGTTTTATTCTGCTGAAATAGCCACTGCATGTGGGATCAGTAAAAATAGGTTGCAGTTGCAGAAGTGTGAGACATTAGAATTAAGATGTGCTGTTAGCCAGATGATAATGACATAAGTGGTCAGCCTATAGCCTATACTCTTCAGACATCTGAAAAAGAAATGCCAATTCCTGACCCTTCCCTTGTTTCACACATTTTCTTTACCCAAAGTGGCCGAGGTGGCTAAATCTTAACCCCGTGCAGACTATGACTTTAGGTTTAAACCGCTGAAACATCCTCATTCTTGGCACAACAGAATGATAGAAGTAAACACCTTGAGCTCATGTGGTGAACCATCACTTTGTCAATCTAGCCATGCAAAATCCTCTTCATAAACCGAATGTGTTCAGCGTGTTCGGATCCAAGAATATCATCCGTCAGTTGTGGTTTCCGGATCTCCCGGGAAATGGTATCCACTTCCTCTCGGCGGGGCTTTAGTGACACGGTGATATTGGAGAGAGCAGCCAAGAACACAGCTGCTGCACCAAACCTCACAGCGCTCTATCAGAGACCGAGCAGCTAGTTGTTGGGGGTCAAGGTTACAAAACTCCCATGTGGAGCGGCCTCTGTGGATTTGACAATCTGCATACCGGGGAAGCTAGCAGCTCTGTCCTTCATGGCCAGTCTATTAAGGGGGGAACCATAGAAGAGCATCTGCTCTGTGAAGATCAAATCCTCTATTGAAGATCAAAAAGCCAAAGATGGGAAACCACCAGAAGTAGAGAGGCACTGCAAGACATTAAGCTGTCAAGTTAACCACCACAAGGTTCAGTCTCTGGATCCTTTAGAAATGAGCTGTTGGTCTACAGTGCATGGTGCTACAGCATGTAGAGCATGCTCAACCTCATTTTCCCAGTTAATTGGTGTTTCATCTGGGTGCAAAATTAGGCACAAAGCAGAAATATGTTACATTATGTGTCTTGATATTTTAAAGTGTGGTGGCTTTGTAATGTGGCTTGATACATGGTGTATAGCCCTCTGCCTCCTTAATACAGTAATGATTCATCCATACTGTACACAGGGCAACTGTGGCTCAGTGGTAGAGTCGGTCAGCTCTCAACCGGAAGGTCGGGGGTTCGATCCCCAGCTCCTGCAGTCACATGTCCGATGTATCCTCGGGCAAAGACACTTATGCTCCCTCTGTTTCGGTGGCGGCATATATATGTGTATGAATGTATTCGTAACTTCTGATGGATTCTTTACTCAGCAGCCTCTACCATCAGTGTGTGAATGTGTAGATGTAAAAGCACTTTGAGGAGTCAGAAGACTAGAAAATAAATAAACAACCTCAAGTCCATTTATGATTTACATCAGACCAACTTGACCAGCATGCTAATGGAACCAGAGATAGGGGTTTATAGAATGTCTGAATGAGACCAAAATCTGGTCCTGTGCTACCTACATATTCTGTATTTTTTTTTCTTTGTCTGTAAACTCAGTGAAGAAAGTTTTCTGGAGGCGTGAGGTTTGTCTGCATGTCAGTTGTGTTGATGGCAAACATCAAAACGGGGATGTTCTTCCCCTGAAAAACAAACAAACAAAAAAGCAGAGAGAGAAATATCTAACCTCCCTCCCCGTGGTAAGTCTTTGTCAGTGTAGCACTGGGAGTGGTGCAGATGAGGGTTGATGCTGGTGAGTAAGCTGCAGCAGAACAGGAAGTCCAATGAAGACTTCTTCAACTTCTTCTTTCTAAAAAAAAACTTGATAAGGACAAAAGATTTGTTTGCACCTTAACAGGCTGTCTGACTTCATCCTGATTTAAGCTCAGACACATTTGGAGCTCAGGTGCACTGACTCTCAGAGACATATAGAGCCAGGATGATCCACATCCTCAGCTGCTATTCTACAGACATTCCTCCCATTCCTCTGAGCATCCCACTGGGCCTTTCTAAGCAGCCAGTCAGAGTCCGTCTTCCACTGCTTTTCTGTGATAAGAACATGAAAGGCCTGATGCACAGTAGCTGGAGTATTTGGGACAGAGGTCAGACAGGATTTATAACCGCAGCAAGTCGGCTCCTCTCCTCCTTTCACAGTGTTTTATCCCTCACATTTGAATGTGTATATTTCTTCTGACAAACGACATTTTATAAACCCTGGAGAACAGTGAATCATGCAATAGTTCAGCCAGAGAAATGTGTTGGATGTCAGGCCAGTTTTTCAAACAGTGCTGGCAGCTCCTCCTGAGTTTTGTCTCCCTTTTCAATCAGATGTTGTTTTTGGGAAAGGTTGAATCTGTATCGTAATTCTTTTGACACTCGGCTGTAAAATGGCTGCAAAGGGGCCGTTCTGCAGCGGGGAGAGCATCTGGTTTCATTCAATCGCTCACCTGTGTTTGCACTGGAGAGGACATCAGAACATCAAGAACTGTTTTACAGAGGCACAAAAAAAGCAGCATTGACAGGCTGGTGGCGGCGCTTCTGAAACAGTCGCACTATTGTGTTATTGTTCTTTGTGATTGGACAGATGAAAGCCAAGTGTTTAGGATCCACCGCGGCTCAGATCCCTCCTCCTAGACATCATTACCACTATAAAGCTTCGGCTGCTCAAACTGTGTACGACCAGAGGAAATCAAATGGCATGCTATTCAGGCTCCTGTTTATTGTCTGCTTTGTGTACTACATGACAAATGTCTTCCATTATGGTGCATGTTGTTTTTTTATTATCCATCTCGTATGAAGAAAAAATAGCATTCTGAAAAGAATGTGAAACCACAAAAAACAGAAAAACAGACGCAGTCATGGGGCTAAGTTTATCCTTTGGCCTGCTCTGTGGTGTTAATGTGCGGCTCCTCCAGCTCCTAAACACATTCATATCACAGAAGAATGTTGTTTTTCACCGTCAGATACAATGGAACTGTGTTTTTCATGTTGTGCTTTGACTCCGACGTGGTCCTGTCATGTGGTCACTTCAGTCACTGGGTAATGACTTGACAACAGACTCTCTGTAAGTTTGCGTGTCTTCATTTTTTATTTCTTTTTGTGGATTCACCCCAGCTGTCATATAATTCTACATTCCTGCGCTCCTATTTTAATCCCAGGGATTCTTTGTAACGCTGAAACAAAAGGTGTGTTACTATAGGCGACTTTTGAGTCAATTTAACACACATTTAGGGGCGCCAGATAGCCTAGCGGTTACCTAACATGCCCCATGTACGGACTCTGTAGTCCTCGTTGCGGCGGCGGAGGTTTTTTTCTTTTGCTGCACTCTCTCCCGTCATTGTATGTCTCTCTTCAGCTGTCCTATCCGATTATGGCCAAAAATACAACTTAAAAACATATATATAATACACATTGCAGCTTTTGCTAATTACGCACCAAAGATATGGAACACATTAGCATTAGATATCAGGGAGGCTAGCTCACTAAATATGTTTAAAAGTAAGCTTAAAACGTACTTCTTAGCATTTAGAATGAGCATCTATTGGTTATGTTTCACTGCTATTTTATAATATTTTATGCCTTTTTAATGCAAATTTCAAATATTTAATGCCTTTTTTATTAATTTCATTTTGTGTTGTTTCATTATGTGATCCTCTTTTATGTCTCGTTTGCAGCAGATGGCCGCCAGGAGAAAAGATGCAGCGCTCAGAGTCATTTTTCCAAGCGCTCTGCCTTTTCTGTGCGGCCCCTCGGAGCGCTTTGAGTTGAAAATTAATCAACTTTTTGGAAGGGCGCTGTTGTCGTCACCATCGCTCTTTTAAACCCTCTAATCATATAGTAGATAGGCGATGATGTTCCCCGTATTTTTGTCTCCTACGGGTCGGGTCGTGTACCCACATCCTCCTCGCTCCGTCTCTGATCTTAGCCGTTGTAGGAGCCATAAATGTAAGTCGATTGTGTATTTGGTGTCATGGGTTGTTTACTGATTTGTTTATTGTTTACAGTCTGCTTGTTCCTGGTGGTGGGTGTGTTCACCGGAAATCTCGTGGTGATGGCAGTGATTATATGAGCCGCACTGACCTGTTCACCTGGTTTTTGGCTTGGATGGAGAGAGGGGGTGAGCGAGGCCATCTTCCAGACAAAGTAGGAGGACAAACATCGTCCGTTTGATGCTCACAGTGAAGGGAAACCAATCCCAAGCAGTGCCCGTCATACAACGGCTGTTGTCATAGAGACGAGACACAAGTGCAGCGCCTTTACTCTCTTAGTGCACAGGACGGACACAAATAGTGAAAATCCAGCAGAATTTATTTAACCCGTGTGAGTCATTAAAATAGTAAACAGGAAACATGAGTTATGGTGAAGGCTGCCACATCAAAAACAGCGTGCGTCTGAGTGGATACAAATAAGTAAACGAGTGTTTACACGTGATGCTACAGCTTTATTAGCGTGATGCTAACCAGACCGGGTGTCACAAAAAGCGTTAGGACATCTGTGGTGTGACCTCCGAGCCTGAAGCACTCCTCACCCTCGCCACCGTGACTCATAAAGAAGGCGAAAAGCATGGCGTGCTTCTACGCCGTGGGGGCTGTAATTAGTCTGGTTTACTTTAGTAACTCTTTGACTCTTCCTTCTCACTCGCTCATGTTGTCCGTCCTGTCAGAATGAAACTGAAAGTTAAGAGCTGGACTTGTGACAAAGGTTGTATGAAGGTGGTGAGGCTGAGGGCACACAGCTCGCCGCAAAGTGAGCCGGGTTTTGTTTTTCCAGCTGTGTGTCCGATGTGGTGAGAAAAAATTGAGCAATGCAAAGACCTCTCGTTCCAACATCAGAGAGAAAACATTCAGCACGTATATTACTCCATTATGATCACACAGCTGAAACAGTCAAACGGGCTTCCTTTACCCTAACCTTTAGAAGATGAAGGAGGAGAGGAAGAAGAACCCGGAAAGGGGTCCTGGAGGCGTAATGGCCCCCTGAGAGTGTTGCCATGTGTGCATGGCGCTGTCTGTCTGGCTGTCGTCCCATTGTGGTGACGGTTGCCCTCAGGGTGCCAGGGAGGCCATATCACAAACCTACAGAGAAAAGAAGTCCAGCGGAGATGAAGGCTCCTGTGACTGGAGGAGTGATGGCAGGCCAATTCAGTCAGAGAGAGAGAGAGAGAGAGAGAGAGAGAGAGAGAGAGAGAGAGAGAGAGAGAGAGAGAGAGAGAGAGAGAGAGAGAGAGAGAGAGAGAGAGAGAGAGAGAGAGAGAGAGAGAGAGAGAGAGAGAGAGACTTAAAGGAGCAGTATGTAACTATGTCACCTAGTGTTTAAAATGGGTACGGCAGTCCAGATTCTAAACATCATAGAGAGCTGTCCCCCCCCCCTCCTCTCTAGAGTGGATGCTCACTCAGGTCACCATGTGGTGGACTCTGAAGCTTCAGTGTTTATCCAGCTCTGCATGGGTCTGTAAACCTTTCTGTGTTCTAACCTCTCTCCATTTTTCAAAAGCATCTCCAATATTGATCCTAGTTTGAGCACGTTTCTGCTCGTGGAGCTTATTAGAAACATGCAGAGGCTTTTTAGGTCGGGTACAATCACTTCTATCTGAACCACTTCTCTTGACCGCTTCCATCGCTGCAACACCTGTTGACCTGATAACTGTTCTCATATCTGGCAAACCGAGGGGCGTCCAAAACGGCTGTGTGGGGGGGTGTGTCTTAAAAGCGCCTACCTTCTCTGGTCCAAACAAATCCAGAGCATTCAGGAGCAGAATCTAAAGTTAGAAGGAGGACATACTGGTTGCTGCATTGTTGTCAGAGAAGCCAGCACTTCAACATAGCATGTTTCCTTAATGATCAGAGAGTAAGATACCTTTATCATCTCACTCTCTACACAGCTCACTGATTGGACCTTTAGAGTTTGGAAACCCCTTTTGGAAAAGCAGGACATTTTATCTCTTGGCTTCGATGTGTATTTCTGTCCTAAGATGTTTTTGTCATTATATGTGTGTTTTTTTTTTTTTTTTTCCTGCAGACACACATTTCCAGATTACCCCCCGGGACCGTTCCTGGACAGTGTCTGGCCATCGAGGGAGGTGTGTGTCGACTGATGAGCGTGGCTGAGTGAGCGGCGTTCTTCCTCCTTGTGGGCTTCTTCAGCAATACGCCAGTACAAACACCTCCCTCCTCTACACACACACACACACACACACACACACACACACACACACACACACACACACATCCCTCGCCTCCACAATACTATTTGATGCCAGAAGTAATAAGCTTTAGCTGTTTCAACAGGGGTCCAGGAAGGAGTTGGGGGTGTTATCTTCTACTTAGTGCACTTACAGGACTTCCCTTTGCCACAGTCTGCCTCCAGCATGCACTCTCCACAGCACCCCACCCCATCTATCCAGTGTCATCTGGATTAGACTTGATGCACCATTGCCTTGATGCACCATTCTCTCTTTGTTACTCTTATCCTACTTTAAGTCACTTCCTCCCTTTTGTACATAAGATATGACTTAGGAAAACAGGGTGGATGTTCAACTTTTTGTTTTGTTTTGTATTTCTGAACAGATGTGATTATTTTTGAAAGCAAGAACTCGTTTTGTTCTTATCAAACTTTTCACATATTAAGGGATGGTTCTTGTGATTTTAAGCGGGGTTGTATAGGTACTATCATTGGTCAGTTTATCACTACAGGAGATGGCGGCCGGCAGTGCCTCTCTTTGGAGAAGCAGTCTGGACTACAGATGCTAAAACTAAGAAATAAAGATGGAGTTTAGAGCAAAATAAAAACACATAACGGACTTCATTAAAAATTGCTTTTATGGCATAATAAACCAAAAGATGGTGTTGTAGTACTCAAAATCGGTCTTGGTCTTAAGAGCAGTCTGGAGACGACTTCTTGAAGGTCTCGTTCCGGAATCAAAAGCATTTTTACCCGGTCTTGTCTCGGCCTCTGACTGGGCGGACTCCAGATTTTAAATCAACAACGGTCAAGACCACCACTGATTGGCTATTTCTCAAAGAAACAAATAACTTCCATTAATTTGTGGATTTTTATTTGTTTATTTGGACTGGGTGGCTAAAGTACGTTTTTCTCCACAGTGGTGCATAGTTTAGCTTTTGTGACAAAACTGTATATAGAATGGACAGCGGAACACCTCGCCTCAAGTGAAGCCAAAAGATTTAAAAGCTCCCCCTGCTGACTGGCTGAAGGATAAGTCACAAACCCCGCCTCCTCTATGTTAACAGATGCTGTCAGATGCACTTTTCTCCAGCCAAGTTTCGTCATGATGATTATTATCACACCATTTGTGATTAAGTCATCTTTTTTTTCAGATAACATTCAGATTTGTATTAGTTTTCAGTACTATGGCGTTATAAAATGCTGTGATTGACAGCTCTTTTAATCTGTTTATTAATGGTTAAGATGTGTTTTCATCAGTGGAAGTGGTGGGACGTATCTTTGTGTATTTGACTTCAACCTGTTCAACCAGAAGTGGATGAGGCATGCTGTCCATTTATTTATAGTCTTTGGCCTTTACAGACAGCTCCAT